TTCTCCTTTCTGTCATCTGCAGCTTTCTCAGTCTTTTTTTCAGTTCTTGAAGTATCATTCTTTTGAATTCTTTATCAGGTAGTTTCATCATCATTACTTCCTCAGAAATGCTTTCTGACTCTGTCTTTTGGTCAGTTGTTGGAGCCACTTTGTCTTTGTTTCTTAGTGTGAACTAACATTGTTGTCTCAGATACAAGGTGGTAATGTGGTATTTGAATTTCACGGATGACTGTATGGTGGTGTCATCTTAGGCACTGGCCACCTGTTTCTTGGTGGCTGTGATAGAGAACTGCAGTATGTGTATCGTTCTGTTTGTGTAGTGCAGTCCCAGGGGGTGGGGTGGGGGGTAGCTGGTTTAGTTGGTGTTGGCTGCTGTCTCATTGGTAGGTGGTGCGGGAGCTCTTGCTCAGTGTGAGGAACTGCAGGGCATATAGTTAGGGCTGGGATGTATGAACACAACTACTGGTTCCTTTTGGGTGGGGCAAGAGTGAAAGAAACACATATACACAAGAGAAGCAAAAAATAGAAAATAATAAAGGAGAAAAAAATCTCAATATGCAGCAACAAAAAGAGAATGTAATCAAAAAGAGAAAAAGTAAATAAATAAAATGGGGGAAGAGAAAATACTAAGAAAGAAAAAAAACCAATGTACGAAACTAGGGAGAGGGGAGTAGAGAAAGATAAGAGACTAGTCAAGAGAAGTAGAGGGAAAAAGAAAGAAGGGGAGTGGCAAAAGAAGAGAGAAAAAGAAGAAAAGAAAGTAAAACGAGAGACTGAATAAAAACCAAAGCAGAGGGAAGGATAAAAATCCAAAGGAAAAGACTAGGACAGGTGTGGGTCCCAGGAGAAAGGGTATTTGGTATGGGTGGGCACCTGCCGCTAACCAGTGATTTCCTGAGATGTGGTGGTGAGGGGCTGGCCAGGGCAGGAGGGTAAGGAAGGCTTATAGGGGTTCTTATAGACCTGGGTGTTGTCTCTGGTCAGGGACCTAATAAAGTAGTTTGTGCAGGCCCTAATGGTGGCTGGCTTTAGTTTCCAGAGGGAAACTCTTACAGGCCCTGAGGTCAGTTTGGGCAGGACCGCAGGTTTCGGGAGTTTCTGCTTGTTTTGGGCTGTCTGGGGAATTGCACTGCTCATTATGTTGGTCTGAAGAGGCAAAGATCAGGCAGCTCTGTGTGTGTGGACATGGTTCATCCACTGCTGGGCCTCTGAGCAGTGGCTTTGCAGGTGGTGAGCAAGGTGGGGACTGGCCATGCCTCTGGTCACCAGGAGAGTATCAGTGTGTGTCTGTGCCATGTGGCTGCCATCTGGATTTAATGCTGCTCCCCAAAATTCACTGTGGCTGTGCTGAGTCAGGAGAGCTGACTGTTCACCTGTCTTGTCTCCTCTCTTGTCCCACTTATTCAGCTGCTTCTCTTAGTTGGTGTTCAGTCCACTCCTCTGTCCTGTCCTCTGAAACTCAGGGTCCCAGGACTATCATGGGTACCTGTTTCCTCTGGTCTCTTGGATATTTTTTGGAGAGGGCTCTGGGTAGCATAGCAGTCTAGTTTTGTTAGCTTGTTGAAAGTCCCACTCTGTTTCTCTCTTCAGCTTTTTTCTTCCTCTGTTCCTGGTGAACTAGACATCTTACACACAAATTGTTTCTGGTTGGTTACTGCCTTTGGACAACTTTCACACACAAGTTTTTGTGTGAGTGTGTCTTTCATTTGTCTTAGGTAAATACCTAGATGTGAGATTGCTGGGCTGTAAGGTAATATTTATCACTATTGGAAACTGCCAATGTATTTTTTCTTCTTTTTTTTAATGTTTTATTGTGAATTATGTGATAGTTTACATTGGGAGAACATTGGTTTTACATTCATCCAATTGTATATCGTTTCATTGCCATGGTACAATCTTCTCCATGAATCATCAGCCAACCAAAGGGTATACACTACAAGCCTGCCCCCTCCCTCTCTAGGTGTAGAGTCCCCAGCTGCTCCATCTCTCCACGTCATCGTCTCTGCCTCTATCTCTGGCATTACTGCTTCTCTG